TCTATCTATCTATCTATCTATCTATCTATCTATCTATCTATCTATCTATCTATCTATCTATCTATCCATCCATCCATCCATCCATCCATCCATCCATCCATCTCATAATGAAATTATTCTGGGCAGCTAAGAACATAAAACATTAAAAATCCTAACATATAAAATATCTGGCACTCCACAAGCAATCCCATCAACAGACACATTGACCTACAACCACCCTACGAGCCCCTCAGAATCCAAATCAACCACACAGCCAACCCACAGTTCACCTCCCCCACCAACGGTTCACCTCCCAATGACCCTGACCTGATAATGACCTCCCCATCACAAGACTCGCTGAAGACTCACAGCTGACCCATCACAAGTCCCTCACTTAACACGTCCACACCTGAAGCCCTTATAAACAGAGGAACACCAACACTGACATCCCCCTAAACTCAGCTGAAGAAATTACCTAGCTGTCATCCAGAGGTGGGATGCTATTGGTTCTGTCCCCCACTGCAGAACCGGTAGCTCTGAAGAGCAGCAGATACCTAACCAGTTCTGTGTTTGCTGCTGTTTGGCCCACCCGCCCGCCTGGGCTCTTACCTGTCCTTTATTTCCTGCTTTTTCAACCTCAGCTGCTTTGCGCGGCACAGCTGAGGTTGAAAAAGCAGGAAAAAAGAGGCTTTTCGAACGCTGTGCACCTGCGCGCAGCACTTTTCATCTGTCCGGGCAGCACAGCTAAAGGTTTTTTTATACGTGTGCAGCAAAATGTAGTCACCGAACTGGTAGTAACACCGGTTGAATCCCACCACTGCTATCAGCGTTCCAGGAAAAACCCAGCTCCAACCAAAAACTCCTAGACAGGCATTTTCTCAAAAGTTCCTTTTATTAGAAGAGGTATACTGGCACATCTAGGAAAACCCGAATCTGAAAGTTCTGGGTTTTACCTCAGTAATTCCAAAAGACAAAACCAAAACCCTGCACCCATCAGTCCATCACATGGCCCAATCATGTTTCATCCCAACCTCAGACATCCCTTCAACTATGCCTCTTCCAGGCACAGGAACAACATGACCTTGACCGACAAGAAGAATGCTATTGTCAAGGCTCCGACAAATCCACCCCCGTTCAAATCATAAATCTCTAGTCCCATCTTTCAGAGTAAAAAAAAATAATGATTTATTAGGAGTGACCATGTCAGCATTACCTGGGTGCAGCCAACTCTAAAGCACATCATTCATTTCACCCTTGACGCTGGTCTTCCCCCCCACCCCCCTGGATGTATATTCTCCAATGGGACACATCCACAGCTAAGAGTCATCAATCATGCTGGGTAATAAGTAATAATCTTGCGTGGCATCAGCTTCAGCTACCTAGCAATTATCTGAAGCATTTAAGGAATGCACTACTTTCCCCATTCCCTTTGTGCTGGCAACTAAAAACACCAAAGAAGTATTATGTCAGCTATTATGTCTAACTGGATACGCTCTATTAAATCCCCCCTCCCACATGCCCAAGCTCAAGAATGCAACAGTGTGGAAGCTTCTGGTTGTAATATGGCTTTCAAAGCTGACAGGCGTCATTCCCCCCCCCCCCCCCCCCGGAATAAAAAAGCACGTTGTAGAAAATAAAATAGACAGGTAACAAAATGTTCAGAAACCAATCCACAAGATCAAAAAATGAACCTTCACCCTCATCTTACACCCAAGCTACAGATAGTTGCCACTATTGCGTAGTTAAAGATTTCAGAGATGAGTTTGAAGTTGGCATGACTGTTGTGTCATGTTGATCTGCTTCTCAGTGAAGACTTTGGTGTCTCTTTTTCAACTGTTGCTTGGACTTTAAGACCACTTAAGCCCTTCCCTTGCTCCTGAAGAGTCTTTCATTGCATTTACACGTAGTCCTCAACTTATGACTTACCTGGAACAAGAGAACTGCAATCTAGATCCAATGTTTCGATAGCAATGCCTTCCCTCCCCCGCAGTCACGTGACCACACTTCCCACGGTTGGCAACACAATCTCAGTTATGGCCATTTACAGTGGTCACGCAACTGTGTTTTATGACCGTTTTGTCAAAAATAGGAAATTACTTCCAATTTTTGTCAAAAGCGGGCAATGAGTTTGCTTGAGCAGTCTTCGTTTAATGACTATGGTGTTTCTTTAAAACCGCTTAACAACTACCTCAAAGAAGTTTGGAAAAATCGGGTCAGTCACATGACCAACATGATTTATGATGGTCACGACATTCAACTATAATGGGAAGCTCCATTACAGTCATATGGAGAAGACTACCTATATAGTTCTATGATTTTCAAAGGCTTAGAATAGGAATAGGAATAAGAATAGGAGTAGAGTAGAGTAGAGTAGAGTAGAGTAGAGTAGAGTAGAATAACTGAGTTAGAAGGGACCTTGGAGATCTTCTAGTCCAACCCCCTGTTTAGACAGGAAACCCTACACCACTTCAGACAAATGGTTATCCAATCTCTTCTTAAAAACTTTCAATGTTGGAGCATCCAGAACTTCTGGAGGCAAATTGTTCCATTGATTAATTGTTCTAACTGTCAGGAAATTTCTCCTTAGTTCTAGATTGCTTCTCTCCTTGATTAGTTTCCACCCATTGCTTCTTGTCCAGCCTTCAGGTGCTTTGGAGAACAGCTTAACCTCCTCTTCTTTGTGGCAACCCCTGAGATATTGGAACACTGCTATCATGTCACCCCTAGTCCTTCTTTTCATCATACTAGACATA